CCAAGAACTTGCCATCTGATGAGGGGCAGTTTCAGCAGCTGTTTTCACTGATGTTTGCCCACTTACAATGAGGATGCTTGCTGACCCCTAATCCTGTCCATGCTGACATAAAGTCATACAGATTTATGCTCAACCTTCTCTATTCCCTTTTGGAGAACTTCAGCAAGACTGTTGTTTAGGTCTGTACTGGCCTTTGTGTCTTACTAGATCTCCAAGTTAAATTCAATTCCCACCAATTGGTAATGGCTCCAATTCATAGCACCCCATATCATAGCAAAGAGCTAAGGTCTGGAGTTAAAACAGGACTATTATTTCCTACAGAACACCAGAAAAAGAGAAATAGAAGACAACTCTATTATGTGGGTTATCTGCAAACAGGCACAAACCTGCTTGCAAGACACACCCATTTTAAATACAATTCCTCGTATCCAAGCAGGACATATAGTTCCAACTAGCACTCTCAGTTGACCAGTGCTAGGGAGCTTTCAGGCTACTGGCAGCACTGGGATTCGGGCAGTGGCTGAGAGTCTTCATCTACTCAACATGCTGTGGAAACAGAGCTGTTAGAGATGCCTCCCTCAAAACCTCCAAGAACTTGCCAACTGATGAGGGGCAGTTTTAGCAGCTGTTTTCACTGATGTTTGCCCACTGTTGAGTGGGCATAGACTCTGTTGCCCCAACCCCAGCAACTGTCAGTAGCCAGAAACCCTCCCAGAACTGGCCAGATGGTGACAATGCTTTACAGAAGAAAAGAAACGGGAGTTTTCAGGAGAATAATTCTAGTTATCTGGTATTCTAAAGCATCTGTCATGCCAGAGTACCTCAGCAGCATTCAACAAAGCTAACGTATATCTACTATTGGACCACCCTCCATTCACACTCTCTGGTCTCAGTTAGAGGCATTTTGTGTCATCTCCTCCACAAACAACCGTATTCTTCTGTCACCACTCTTCCTGAAATAGTGATGGAACCACACCAGGCATTCTACTGTCACCTATGCCTCTATGCTACCAGAGGACTGCCTCTGACAATCTTTCACCTCAGAGGTGCAACAGATGCTGTGAAAATGGAAGGCACAAGTAGCAGTGTTGGAGGAACCCATGGCCTCCAAGCTAAGAGAAGTTTCCCTCAACCCAAAGTCGTTGCTCACCCCCATATAATCCATCTACAAGCCAATCTTTGACAAACCTCAGGGAAAAAAGTCTTTATTGCTGGTAATTTAGCTTCCTTTCAGAGCTTTATGTCTGACTCCACTTTCAGAAGGATCTTCCCTAGCAAATTGACCTCTCTCCAGCTAATTGAAGCAGGTCACTGATTATTTTAGCCCTTCTGCTTTTCTTTGCTTTTTTTACTTGAAAAGTAGCATTGTGGTTTTTCCTCGTTTGCATAAAGTACTATAACCAGCCTTATGGTAGGGACAAAAGGATCATGCATTAATGTGCTCATTCTGTATGGACTCTATTGTAAGTGAAGATGTGATCTGAAAGTCAGAATAGATACATTTTCTCTCAGTAAAAGGCCTACGGAAAGCACAGGTCCAGAAGTAGCTTTTATTATTCTGGACTCTTGCCTTAGTGGCCTAAATACAATGCTATTCTAAGCCAGAGAGCAATTAGGAAGAAATTGTTCATACATTACCAAGGAATGGCAGGACATTGCATCTCTACTTCATTTTAATACCACATGAAAAAAATATCCCATATTATCTCATTCTCTAGTGAAGTACACAAAGGCAATGCTACATGTCATGCTTAAACTGGCTCTTTATTTTGAAGAAAATCATCTACAGAACACAGTCTGGATTGAGACCCTGTATTGTTTCCCTGTTGATAACCACCCTTTCCTGGCTGCTACTTGACCCTTGAAGGTGTTGTTTATAGTACATGGCCTCTTGAGGGGCAATGGGATGGGTTGATTTTTGGAAGGAAGGCAATAACTTTCAGCAAAACAAACTGAGGCATACAACTCTGGTGGGGGCAAACAGCTGCCAGTTGGTCGTCTTCCAAGCGGCTTTTTATGCAAGTGGTTTTGTCCGTTTGTTTTAATCGCACAGTCCTCCTCTGTGAACACAGCTTGCAAAGTGGAGCTTGGAAAAGCTAGTTGTCCCTGGCTAGCCAAATAAAAAATCTTGTATTGTCTCAGGTTCTCTCTGCAACTGTCTTGCCTTTCTTATAAAGAGATAGAGATGTACCGATTTTTGTTCTTGAAGCACAATGCCCAGAATTCCCCCGGCAGCTGGTTACCTTGGGCATTCTGGAAGTTGGAGGCCAAAATCACAAACCTGCATAACATGATAGAGATCTGCTAGCAGCAAGCAGGCATTGCTCATCGCTGCCTCGTTTGATTGGCTATCCCTGGCCAATTTCTCCTCTGTTCGGCCATTTTCCTGGGACCTAGTGGTTTCATAACCATTTACCTCACCCTATCACTCATCTCCTCATCACTCAACCTTCCATCCTCTTCCTCTACAGTTTCTTGTTCCCTCAGTTTCTATTCAAGTTGTTGAATAAAGCTGAATATGTAATTTGCCACAGAAGAAGATGTGAGTTAAGTTCTCCATCTAGAAGATAGCAAGCAACATCTGTTGAAGCCAGAATGACAGTCTGAAAAAAACTAACTTTTCTGATCTGTGCTGTACACACACACAACAGGCATGTCTTCCCACTCCATATGAGGACACAGCAGGACTGTTCTTGCAGGCTTTGGCAACATCAGAGCCAGGGAAGAAATGGTTCCCCAAAACCTCAAACTTATGAGACCTGTAGCCCATGAAAAGGACATTTCCCCATCTCTGTGGTTATGCCCCACAAGCACAATCCCACCTCCTGATATAATGAGTGTGTGGAGGGAACAAGAGAAAAGAGGATATAATAAATGCAGCTTATCTACTCTGCCTGCCTTGCTGCCAGTTATTTCAAGTTCTCACCACAGAGTTTTGAGAAAAGAACACTGTGGCAGATTCACGCTCAGATGCTGCACAGACTCCAGCTCTTTGTTGGAAGTATTTACAGTAACACAGTGTGTCATTTCAGCTTGTGCACTCACAAAAGAACTTCTACGCATAATGGATTTTATTTCCCCTGGCTTGGAAAGGAAAGGGGGAAAGAGGAGAGAAAGTGGGGGAGAGCAATGGAGGCTCCTTCAACCAGCCCTCACAGAATTTACTTTGCTGTCATCTTTTGGTAAGCAAAGAAGAAGAAGAAAGGGGAGATATATTTTTAAAAGGGCAGGTGAAAGTCAGAAATGGGGTAGCTTATAAAAACTGAAAATTGAACTGCACAGCATTAAAAAAAAACATAGAGGAAGAGTGCTTTGTGTTTTTTTAAAGGAAGCTGCTGTATATTGTAGATGAGACTCTTTGTCCCTTTTGTCCAGCACGATTTGCTCCAGATTGCCATTGATTCTCCAGGATCTCAGGAAATGATCACCATTGGATCGCTGGATCCTCTAAAACAGAGATAGCAGCAAACTCAGGATCCTCTGCACATGAACACATTTCTGACCACCAAGCAAGAGTTCTTCTCTGATCGATGCTCAAACAACAGAAGAAAAGTAGTCTGTAGGCTGTTAAATATTGGTTCTTCAAATCACACTTATTTACTTAATTGCCTCCTTTGTTCCCATAGAGAACTCATAGAGTTCTGGCCCTTCAGACTGCCAGTAACCAAGCCATAAAGGGCTTTGTAGGTCATAAACAGCACTTTCAATTGGGCTGAAAATGGACCGATAGCCAGTGAAGCTGTTGTAACTGGGAGTTACATGCTCTCTGTAACCAAGCCAGTCACCAGTCCATCTGCAGCATTTTGAACTACCTGAAGTTCCCAAGCACTCTTCAAAGGTGGGCCCATCTTCCTCTTTTCCCAGTTCCTTTTAACTTGTCTTCTTATAACATGTCCAAAAACAGCCTCAGTTTAGCACCTAATGAAAGTTCAGGCTTGGTTTACTATAAAACCCATAACTTGTCTTTCTGCCCAATTTCTTGTACCCTCATCAGAAGTTGTTTAAAGTTAATGCTGTTTTCTGCCAGTAGTAAGGCATCATCTGCTTATTGTTGATATTCCTTTCACCAATTATCACACCTGCTTTATCTGGATCTACACCAGTTTTCCATATGGCATTTTCTGTGTGTAGACTGATTGGCTAGGGAGCTAAAATACCCCCTTTTCTGGTATCTTTGCCAGTGGAAACCTCTTTCTCCACATTCTGTCCTAACAATAACAAGAAAGGGCACCTTGAAGCTATTCCCAACAGTGCCCATATGGCCCCTGGGAGGCCCTGACACATTTGAAGGGGGCTACAGGCTGGAAATAATTCTTCACACACCACCTTATAAGGGTCATTAAGTGATTTACACAATCTGATTCAGCTTATATTTATTTCATATTGTGTTTATGGCCATGACCAAAAAAAAGTTGAGAACCCCCTTCTGCTCCTTACCATCCACATTTGTTGAAAAACAAGTCTGACAATTGTTTTGCATTTGGGTGAGAAGTAGTTAACTGATGAAAAAAATGAGTCAGCTTCTACGATTTTCCCTTGGTTGGTGTCACATTTGTGTTATCAATCAATGGAGTTGGTGCTGTCAAAGTTATAATTTTTTGTTTGGGCTGCCCCCATTTATAGAATTGCCTTAAAGAATGTTGGTTTGCTCTGTTGCACAATAGCATCACTGCACTCTTGTGCACTGATTATATAAGCTCATGCAGTTACTTTCCTGCAAATTCTTCATTCATGGAAATTTTCCCTTCAAATTTTTAAAAAGTCTTTCGTTTTCCAGCCTTTTGATGCCGTGCAACTGTTATGGACTTTGCTCTTGGAATGGTTTGATTCTCCATGTTTAAAGAGAAAAGCTATTGAGAAAAGTTTTGATTCCTTTATTGTGATGGTCAGGGATGGGAAACTTGTGGTCCACATCACCTTGACAACAGATATCATACATCAAACCAGACTTGGACTCCTCTATCTCCACCCTGCCTCTAACACATAACGAAGGTACTTACATCAGTTAAGGCCGCATTGATGTAGTTGTTGCTATCTCCGTCCATGGAGATCAAGAAGGGGAGGCACCGGTCAGGAGGCAGCACGTCCATACTACGATTCTTCTCCCGATTGCGTGGTAGAAGGGCGATGCTGCACTCCTCGACATCCAGGTGGGGTGTTACAGAATTCAGAGTCTGCTGGACACAAGGAAACCAGGTTAGGCAGCATTTTATAATCTTATAGACAGGGCAGATTTTACAGCTATAGTAACAGACATTCTTCTTTTATAAGGCTTGTTATATTAAAGGCCCAGCGAGATCCAGGGGATGCCGCTCACTGGCAGAGCACATGATTTACAAGGAGGAAGCGACAAGCTTTGAGCCACTGCTTTGATTTCTTTCTGTTTCATGTACTAAGAGAAATTCAGCAAGGAAGGCTTGTCCAGATATAGGTAGGTGCCTTATGTTGAGCTAAAATACTGCTGTATGATTCCAGGTGTGCAAGTGGTAGAGTTTCTGCCTTTGCTTGCTGGACCGCTATGCTTTTAACAAATATATAAGAGGTAACTAATTCAAGAGGTGACACATGTTGTCTGATCACTGCATTTCCATACTGCAGAAAGCTTTGGACATTTGCCAGTTGTGCAGCTAGTGTCGTGCCTAAAAACAAGTTGGACGTTCCAGCTCCAATGAATGTTTCTAATTATCACTGAAGCTACATGCCAAGGGTTGCAACTTTTAGTGATAGGCTTTTGTTATCGCCATCTAACTTAAAATAGAAGCTAATTTGGAGAAAGAGTTTCTTTTCGTTCAGGAAAGCCTCCAGCTTTTATTTACTCACCTGGAACTCCTCCCGCAACTGTGATGAGTTGCTCTGCGGATCTATCCTGACCATCTCTTTATACGTGGGCCTGAATTCACTAATTGGAATGCTGGTTTCCCCACACAGGCAGGCTTCCAAAATGGCATCATGGATGAATACATATTGCTCCTTTAGCAAGAGAAAATAAAATCAGAGGTCCATTACAATGATATTGCTGCATTTTTAGACATTTATGATGTGCTTCTATTTTTCTGAGGTGACATACAGCAGAATTCAAACCAACAATTAAGTCTAAGCAGATTAATATTTCATTCATAGCTTACAACAATACAATTCATCTGACTGATGGGAAAATTAAACGTTGCAGCCTTAGCTTCACTGGTGCATTTATTCAGTGTTTTACAAGAACTGGAGAAAATCTTGACTTGCCTTATGAATTAAAAATGGGTGAATAATCATAATCAATATAAAAGGAAAAGAAATAATCAAGACAATCTGTAGTTAATATAACAAAATAATACACCTACAGCCAAAAAAAAATCATTTAAAACTTCCTCCATAAACCACAGATTTGCACTTTCTTACCACTGTCACCAGCACCCAATACCACAAGCTGGCAACAAACAGCTCTTTCAAACCTATGCAGCTAAGAGACTGAACGTGCCTACAGGGGGCAATGGAATCCATTCCAGGCAAACCTTCCTGGGTGGAGCTTCAGTATTCTAGAATGTGGTGCCATCCGGATGCTTTACTAGAACACTGGTTCTTAACCTTGGGTTACTCAGGAGTTTTGGACTGCAACTCCCAGAAGCCTTCACCACCAGCTGTCCTGACTGGGGTTTCTGGGAGTTGTAGTTCAAAGGCATCCGAGTAACAAAGGTTAAGAACCACTGCTCTAGAATGTGGTGCCATCCGGATGCTTTAGATTGAAGCTCTGATCAGTCCAATTGTGAGAAACTGGGAGTGGACATTCAAAGCTACTAGCACCCGGTTCTACTCCATATATGCATAACTAGTACAGTGGTGCCTCGCTTAACGAGCGCACCGTTTAATGACGAATCCGCATAGCGACGCATTTTTTGCGATCGCTAATGTGATCGCATTGCGATGTTTTAGGTGGCAAAACATCGCATTGTGATGTTTAGAAAACAGCTGATTGGCGGTTCCAAAATGGCCACCGGGTGCAGAAAATGGCCACCCGCAACGTTTTCGCACCCTGCCCTCGCTTACCGAGGCGGCGAAAATGGCGGCCAGATGGGGAATTTTCGCTTAACGGTGAGTTTTCCCCCCCATAGGAATGGGGGGGGGTTACGTTCCGGATAGCGACGTTTCCGGATAGCGACGTTAATCCTGGAACAGATTAACGTCGCTATGCGGGGCACCACTGTATGTATTTTGGGAGCATACTGTGGATGCAAACACAATTGCCAAAGCTCAGAAAAACAGGAGATGATTGGTGTTGGAAAGGGTCTTCATTACTTTGGACATTAGATGAGGTGCTGTTTCATCATTTTTGGTAATCAGATGAGGTGCTGTTTCATCATTTTTGGTATGCCAAGCCTACAGTCAAAATATCCCAATGTTAACAATGCCAGAAATACCACCACACAAAATGTCACAAGCAAAAAAAGAGGGTATAAGGACCAGGAAGAGGCATTTCCCTCTACCCTAAACTCACTTCAGTCTGGATCATGTTGATTCTCCGTGAGCACAGTGTCTTCACACAGTTGTATATGTCCACAACGCCCTCACACTCAGCCATATCGAGCATCACATCCAGGACGATGTAGCATCCTGTTCTCCCTGTGCCAGCACTACGGAGATTTGTGGAAATGAAAAACACAATGGCAGATGCTTAACCCACATCCTCCACAGCCATGTTTAGTTGCAGAATTCTCACAAAGAGCTAGAACCGCAATATAAGCCATCTTTATCAGTGCAATCCATGGAAATAACCTTTACATCTTCAAAAAATGCAAGACCCAGGCCTTAAACCTAACCACACCACTGCATGTGAATTCCCATATGGTCAGAAAAATACCTCATAACCCAATCCAATGTTAGTTTTTCAACCCACTTAATGAAGGTTAAATGCCAAGGCCTAATAATATCTCACAGAATGAGGTGGATCAGATATTTGTTGGGTCTTCATTATAACAGGTCCTTCCCACCGAGATGGTACCTATTTATCTACTTGCATTTGCATGCTTTCGAACCGCTAGGTTGGCGGGAGCTGGGACAAGCAACAGGCGCTCACTCCGTCGCGTGGATTCGATCTTACGACTGCTTGGTCTTCTGACCCTGCAGCACAGGCTTCTGCGGTTTAGCCCACAGCGCCACCACGTCCCATTTCAACCCACTTAATGAAGGTTAAATGCCAAGGCCTAATATCTCACAGAATGAGGTGGATCAGAAATTTGTTGGGTCTTCATTATAACAGGTCCTGGTGGTAGCCATTGTTGACATGAAGACTGAGTTTGAAAATTGCATTGGAAGAATGCATTCAAAAATGAGAAAAATATATACAGTTTTGTTTTTTGCAAAAAAAATTTGAAGACTATACACTTCAGTCTGTTTTATACTATAAGGAAAGTTCTTCTAATGCAGAGGTTAGCTGGTACTCGATGGTCTCAAAATTTTCCCCCTAGACTGTCAAAGCAAGATCATCAGCATAGATGAAACTGGAGTGTGGAAATGTTGGTTGATCATTTGTGTAAATGTTAAAAAGCAATGGTGCCAGGACACTACCCAGTAGGAAGCCATTCCTTTGACTTCTCCAGCAACCATGCCTCGCTTGAAATTCAAAAATAAAATCTTCAGTTTTGAAGCACAGCAGTTTTTCTAGAAGTCTTGCACTGTACAAGACTTGGCTTAGGCAAATCCCTCCATCCCTTCTCTTTCACATACATGCAGAGAGCAACACAACACTTAGAATTTCACATTTTAAAAATTAGCTACCTTGCAATTTAAAACCATAACCCTCTCTCTTATAGGAGGCTTGTTCATAGAATAGGGCTGACCCTGGACTTCCCCTCTGTCACAGAACCCATCCATCAAACTTGTAACAAAAGCCCTAAGGCAGCAAAGTGGAACCACTTCTCCTCCTTTCCCATTGAAGCTTTAACACTCCAGTATATGAATTCCTCGGGCTGATGAATCACTTGCTGTGATTATCAATGATTGCAGGCTGGGGAAACTAATTACACTTGTTGTCCCTGATGAATGAATACTGATGAAGCAACTGGCAAGAGGGGGAAAGTGTGTGTGTCAGGGCTGGTGGGGAAATTCCCCAGCTTTCATTCATCACTTCTTCCTTGTTGATCCAGCACAGAAAGTACCATAATATAGAAGTTGTAAAGAATAGCTGTAAAGCCAGGCTGAACTATTGAAAAAGAGAGAGAGAGAAAGAAAAGGAGCAACATGGCCATGTTCTGCTAGAGCTAGCTTTGCAAGCAAAGCAAAGCAACACAAAACAGAAAAGAAAAAGAACACCAAGTGTAAGAACACAAGGGAAACATTTTGTGGTCTTTTGCCTTTTCAGCAAAACTATCCATGTAGCAACTCTGGGGATGCAAGCGAACTGATGCAGCTGTAACATTTAAGGCCTTACATGAGCCAGATGCAGAGCTTGGCAAATTACTTTCAAAAACAAAACCAAGGAGCCTAATGGCACTTTACAGACTAACAAGTTCTGTTTATACTAGTCTTTGTCTAGAGGGGCGGGGTATAAATCTAAATAAAGTAAAGTAAAGTAGTCCTGTTCTTGCTTGTTGCTTTCCCAATATTTCAAAAACTAAATAAAACCACCTTAAACCTAATGCTAGCTGATTAGCTCATTGAGTTAGGTAGAAACTGGGAGTTCTATTCCCACTGTATCTCCTAGAGAAAAGCTGGCCCGTGTAACCTTGGGCAAACTGCACAGTCCTAGAACAGCCACAGGAGAAGGTGATGGTGAAACACTTCTGAGTACTTCTCAGCAAAATCCTGAGAAAAGTCACTGTAAATTGGAATTGCCTTAAAGGCCCATAGGTAAAGATTCCCCTTGACATTTAGTCCAGTCGTGTCCGACTCTAGGGCGCGGTGCTCATCCCCGTCTCCAAGCTGTAGAGCCAGCGTTTGTCCGAATAGCAGTTTCTGTGGTCACGTGGCTAGTATGACTAGACATGGAACGCCATTACCTTCCCACCGAGGTGGTACCTGTTTATCTACTTGCATTTACATGCTTTTGGACTGCTAGATTGGCAGGAGCTGGGACAAGTGACGGGAGCTCACTCCGTCATGTGGGTTCGATCTTACGACTGCTTTGTCTTCTGACCTTGCAGAACAGAGGCTGCTGCGGTTTAACCCACAGCGCCACCACATCCCTGCTAAAGGCCCATAATTATTGCTATAAGATGGATAAGAAAATGGCTTCCAATTCGACAACCACTGCTCAAAAAATGCCTCTCAAGTAAAAATATTATTATGTTTAAACTTTTAAAATAACTTAAATAAAACTAGTAAACATAATCAGTTGCATCATCACTCCAATGCTACATTCCAGGATCCCTCAGCCAGTAACGTTTCCAAGCTCTAGATAATGACAAACAGTGGGTCTCATTTAAGACAATTTCCCATGTTAACAAGCATTAGCAGCTGGCTGGGGAATTTCAGGGTGGGAATTTTGGGGTGGGAAAAGGTAAATTATTTCCAAGATCTATGGTTAATACAGGAATGTTCAGCCCCTGGATCCAAGCCAAAATCTGCTGTCTCCTTTACTTCTCCCAATGGTCTTCTCCCTTTCTCTTCCATATAGCTAGGGAACAGTTTTGTAGACCACATGAATATCTGATGTCGAATTTGGAAATACTGGTATGCTCTGAGGCAAAAGAGCATGTGCCAGAAACCCTGCTAAAACGTATCCATAAGTAAGTATGTTGGCCTCTAATTCATTCTGACAGCATTTCACTCCTCCCTGGACAAGGAAATAGTACATTCCTTGACTATCTCCAGTTTTCATTTCAACTATGTGAGAATCTTGCTATGTTTGTTGTTTCTAAAGAAACTCCCAGAATGTTCAAATTTGAATGGATGGAAAGAACTCAAAATCAGAAAAACATGAACACGGGAGAACTGAGTTTGGGAGATTTTTTCATCCAAGTAGACGGCTTTCAGTACTTAGCTCACAGAAATCTCTCTTTATGTATTCAGCCATGTTGGCAGTACTGGATTATGGCTGCCATCTTTTTTTTCTGAAAAGCAGATATAGTATGATTCTCTCTCTAGTGCAGGCTTGTCCTACCCACGGCCCGAGGGCCACATGCGGCTCAGGTCAGCTCGTAATGCGGCCCAGTGCAATTTTTTATTTTTAAAGCAATTCCAAAGTTTCAAGTTACACTGCCGGCGCTTGCGGCCAGAATGTGGCCGGGGCATGTCACAACACTAGAGGGGGAGAGAGGGAAGGAAGGAGTGGGGGGAGGGGACAGGGGGGCTGCGTGGCTGCATTGCGCCATCCCCGTCAATAGGTGGACCCCCTCCCGGCCCCATAAAGCCACCGAAGAAGAAGCTGGCAGTCTCTGCTGTCTGAGATCGCAGCTGCCGGTAAATGCGCTTGGAGCGAGGCTGCGGATGACGGCTAGGGCTGCCCCCCCATGCGGCCCAAACCAAATGTATGTGCGGCCCAAACCAAATTTCCATCTTCTAACGTGGCCCAGGGAAGGTGAAAGGTTGGACACCCCTGCTCTAGTGTGAATAGCTGTACCTACTAAGGGGGACAGTGCAGATGACTGACAAGTTAGTTTGACACTTTTTGATCACTAAATTTCTCCATAAACTGTATCACCACAACTTGAGAAAAAAATTTTAGTGATGCTTTGCTAATTCACACCAGAGGCTGAAGATTGTGTGAAGTATTCAGTTAAAGGACTATTTTTCTCTGCTTCTACCTTTCTTAACATTGAAAGTTATATTAAGTTATATATTTGACACAGAGAAGGTCAATCATTTTACATGAAAACTACTACTTTACATGAAAACGATTACTACTATCACCACTATTGCTACAGGACTTGATCTTACCTGCAATGGATGACGATGGGCCCTGCATCGGGAGGCGTCGATGCCTTCACTCTGCGAATGAATGCCAGGAGACCAGTAGCATGATAAGGCACCCCATGTTCTGGCCATGATGTGAAATGGAACTGCTTTACCTCGTGTCTTGCTGAATAGCCTCTCTGCAAGAAGAAAAGCATAAACCCTATAGACAAATCCACTGAGCAGTGCTAGGTTTGCTCTTGAAATCTTCATCAGTCCACAGTTTTCCTTAGTCTAGTGAATGTTCAATTATCTGGCCTTTTTTGACATTCAGACTACAATGTAAAGCTTTGGTAACAAGAGTGGGTAACCTGTAGCACCCTAGATGCTGCTGGACACTCCAGCTCCTATTACCCCCGATGGGAACTTGGAATCTTATTTGAATTCTAGGAACTGCTGCCAAGACCCCCTTTCCCAACCACAAGAATGCTTGAAATGTTTCAAAGGGGCTTATAAAAGCTGAGCAGTTCTTCATCCAGTGGTTAAAAAGAAGAACAAAAGTCCCTTCCCACTCCCAATAAGACATTTTTTAAAAAAAAAAATCTGCTGCCCCTTTTTGGGAAAGAGGCTAGCTAGCTAGCTAAGTAAGTAACTAAACCAATCAATAAATCAGCCAGCCAACTTCTAGAAAGTGAATTTAAAGTTGAACTTCGATGTCTATCTAATAACTATCCATACATCTAGAAGTTCTTGAAACAGAAACTGCCTGGAATTCTTTGGTTCCAGCTAGGACAGGACACTGAACAAAATATAATTAAAAATGCCAGATATATCCCGGAGATGACAGATGGCATGAGATAAGCAAATAGTACTTTGCTTCCACCTCTGAACAGCAATAACACTGAAATGTTCTCTGAATATTTTCCTATGTTGGTATCATGGCTTCAGTTTGGGATTCATTCTGGAAATATCCATACTGGTGCCAATCTTAATTGAACCTGGATTATTCTGTGGCTAGCACTGAGAAAGAATCTTGTTAGAGTCAATGGTTTCAAACTCACCAAGAACTTCTTAGATTCGCAGATCTAGGAACTTGTAGGACATTTTTTATAAATACAGTCTGAAATGTTACTCAGTCATGTAAAAGGCATAATCTTTAGCAGCAAATTGGTGTGACTTAAAAAATCACCATAGTCAAACTACTGGACAGCTCAATGGTTTAGGTATCTGGGTGTGAAGCCAAAGGTTGGGAGTTCAATTATCTCATGCATATTGGGTCACAATGGTGTGATAACGACTATGGACATTTATTGACTTACATACATTTGGTGCCAAAAGTTACGGTTTTGCATAAACTCTGCAACAAGATTTCAGTCAAAGTATGCCTCAAACTATGAACACATTTTAATATATGTATAATTACAGTCATTAGACCAATTAAACAAAAACAATTACAGTTTCAACCTTTCCAGAATAAAAAAAATAACAAAAATTACCACTTAGTTTAAAATCCATTTAAAATCTTACAATTTAAATCCATTTAAAGTTGACAATTTGAAGCCCTTTAAAATTTACACATCAAAAACTTATCTACACTTTGATTTCTGGAATCTAAGTATCACCATGCAGAAACTTGCAATGTGATTAGGGTTTTTATCTGAGAGAACACATTTTTAAATGTGACTGGAGAGAGCCGGTACGGTGTAATGATTAGGGTGCTGGAGACCTGGGATCAGGTCCTTATTTGATATGCCTCATAGAGTAGTGAGCATAAAATGGGGTGCAGGGAGGTGGGGGGGGAAGAGCCACATATTATACTATGAGCTCACTAGAAGAAAAGCAGGATATAAATGCAATTATATAAAGACACACAAGGACAGAAATATGCACAACAGAAAAAATATATGCACAAACACACTTTGGTCAATGGGAGCCAATACCTCAGTTAGGTATGTTAAATTAATTTAATTCCATTCATTTTAATTTCAGACCACAAATAATAGAATCATGGAATAAGGTCATCAAATCCAACCCCCCGCTCAATACAAGAATCCAAATAAAAGTATATCTTGACATATGTTTGTCTAACTTTCTCTTAAATGCCTTCCAGTGTTGGAGTGCTCACCACCTCCCATGGTAACTGGTTCCATTGTCACACTGCTCTAATAGTTAGGAAGTTTTTTCCCCCCTGATGTTCAATTGAAAACTGTGGCTTCCTGTAACTTGAGCCCACTATTACATGTCCTGTACTCTAGGATGATTGAGAAAAGATCCGGGCCCTTCTCTGTATGACAGCCTCTCAAGGATTTGAAGAGTGCTATGCTATCTCCCTTCACTCTTCTTTTCTCAAGGCTAAAAATGCCCAGTCCTTTTAGTCTTTCCCCATAGAGCTTGGCTTCCAGTCTCCTGTTCAACCTTGTTGCCCCCCCCTCTAGTTTGTTTGCATCCTTCTTAACATGTGGTGTTCAGAAGCAGAAACAGTGCTCGACATCAGCCTAAAAAGAGCTGAATAGAGGGGAACTAGTACTTCATGTGATTTGGAAACAATACTTCTATTAATGCAACCTAAAACAGCACTGGCCTTTTATGCAGACCCACTGCACTGTTGGCACATACTCAGCTTGTGATCTACAACAATTCAAGATTCTTCTCACCTGTAATATTGCTGAGCCAAGCATCCCTTAAACTATTAAACGAGGTAAAGACATGCATAACGACATGCATATCTTGAGAAAAAATTATGAAAAATGTTTACAAATTTCAATGCAAGGAGGGGAAAAAAACTGATGTTCAATTGAAAACTGTGGCTTCCTGTAACTTGAGCCCACTATTACATGTCCTGTACTCTAGGATGATTGGGAAAAGATCCTGGCCCTTCTCTGTATGACAGCCTCTCAAGGATTTGAAGAGTGCTATGCTATCTCCATTCACTCTTCTTTTCTCAAGGCTAAACATGCCCGGTCCTTTTAGTCTTTCCCCATAGAGCTTGGCTTCCAGTCTCCTGTTCAACCTTGTTGCCCCCCCCTCTAGTTTGTTTGCATCCTTCTTAACATGTGGTGTTCAGAAGCAGAAACAGTGCTCGACATCAGCCTAAAAAGAGCTGAATAGAGGGGAACTAGTACTTCATGTGATTTGGAAACAATACTTCTATTAATGCAACCTAAAACAGCACTGGCCTTTTATGCAGACCCACTGCACTGTTGGCACATACTCAGCTTGTGATCTACAACAATTCAAGATTCTTCTCACCTGTAATATTGCTGAGCCAAGCATCCCTTAAACTATTAAACGAGGTAAAGACATGCATAACGACATGCATATCTTGAGAAAAAATTATGAAAAATGTTTACAAATTTCAATGCAAGGAGGGGAAAAACCACAATTTTCTACAAAACAAGGATGAAATGGAAATGCAGGTTTGGAGTAATGCAACGAAATCAAGCCCGGGAGATTTCTGAGATCCTCCATCGGACTACCCAAACTGACCTCCCCAGCTTGCTATTAGGACTAGAGAATGGGTGAGAACCACAAAGCTTAACTTGAGTTCACTGAAAGAACTGGAAAGAACTGGAAAAAACAAGACAAAATGAATGCATTTTAGCTGCAAAGCTTGGCTTACACAAAGAAAAATGGCCAGATTATTGGCTGTCCTTTATGTATTATATCTGCCTTCAGAGGACTAGAGCATGGGTGAGAACCACAAAGCTTGTGTTCACTGAAAAAAACAAGACAAAATGAATGCATTGTGGCTGCAAAGCTTGGCTTACATAAAGAAAAATGGCCAGATTATTTGCTGTCCTTTATGTATTATATCTGCCTTCACCCGAAATAATTCGTAATTCTCACTACGGTGATACTGTTTTATGTAGATGTAACATACTCTTGGTTGTAGGTTTCTCTTTTAACAGAGCTGGTTGTTTCTGGGCGGAAAAAAAATGCCATATTGCTGATAAAAGAGCCCTTCCATTGAAGTTTTCGGAGTTGTAAGGATTGCCATAGAACGATTACAAGGCCACTAGATCCCTGAGGCTCTTAGGTACTTTACTTGTAACAAGACTGTGATTTAACATTCCTGCAGATTAAGGGGGGTGAATTACAGTTGCGAATGTCCCCAAGATATAGTATGACTGCTCAATAATTGCCATGAAGCTTTCAATTCCTGTCTTGGAGATAGAAATAATTGTCCATTCCCTGTACAATTACATGGCGCTTAGCATGAAATTAAACCACCAGGAATGACCACGTAAATAAAAGGCTGTTTCTGACACATTATTTACTGGAACTACATGCTTGGACGAAGTATCAAAAGAATATACATAACCCAGGAAAGCTGAGGAGGTGGTATTCTGAGTGCAAAGGCATAGTTTTGCAGGAGACAGAGGAGTAGAATGGTTTTTAAGGCAAAGCAGTGGAGGGTTTGCATGACATAACAGGGAACTTTGAGGAGAAATAAGAGACGTCTTCCTGTCTGCAAAAGAACAAAGGGCTAAGCGCAAACAGACATTGAAGTTGTGTTCTAATACCCAGCCAAATTTCAACCTGCAAATTCAGATACAAACACAGGGACATGAGTGTGCATGTGTGCGCACAGAGATAGAAAGAGAACAAAAGAAATCTGGATCATGCTTCTAAATATGGACAAGATAAAGGAACTGTAGAAATGCTGGGGAATTTTATTTAGCCTGCATTTTAAACACATAATCTTTAAACACATATTCCAGACTACTGAGTAGATTATGCATTTCTCCAAATGTTGTGACATAAATGTGCCTATTTTAGGGGAAAATATGGAGAGGGAGAAATGTTTATATACAGGTGCATTGTGGAAGGAATGCATACAAATCCTTCTTTTAGGATAAACATATGGGTAATTTAACTGAATTTTCATGAGGTTTAAAAAAACAGACTCAGAAGATGGTATGAAATTTACATGAACACATGCACCGGAAACAGATTGATCCATCTCTCAATGGCAACTAGAATATGAATTTCAGGAGGAATATTTGCACTCACTTCTGAAATACCCAACAAATTAACATGGAAGTCTGTATACATGATTGTTGTATACTCTTCCAAGAATAGAAAGTGAGGAAGCGTAAGCTGAGATAAGAGAGATGACCCTCTGAAAACCTCTTTCTAGTTAAATGTGGCATCTCCAATACTGAAGGGTTGCTGTAACTTTGTTTTGTAGCACATGTTGTGCAATATTGGCATTTTGCTTTTTTTTAGCAGGGAGAAAGTCTCAGTAAGATGGCCCTCGCGTTTGCATAAAGGACCTCTGGCTGCAGAAGAAGCATGGCTGATAACAGTATCTCACAATACTATTCGGCCACACAGCAAATTATTCACCATTAGCCGAACTTACCCTCTCCAGATTGAATGTCCTCACAACATATTCTGCCAGGGTCTCTGACTTCACCTGAGTAATTTTAATGTCACCATACATCTCTGTGTCATCTGGCCAGTACTTGGAGCATTTTACCTGCAGATCGAAAATAAAAACAAAAACCCCAGAGATTGTTATGCATGTGCTATGGAGAGCAAGCCACCAGGAGCCACTGGGTGAAGAGCAGAATAGAACAGGTTTCTTACCCTTCCCACTTCCACCAGCTTTGTTATCATCACTATGCTGGAACAGTGTTCTTGCCACACCATTCTCCAAAAATCGTAGACCATCTCCTGCTTAGGGCCTGAAGAAGAGAGAGAGAGAGAGAGAGAGAGAACTGAAAATTTTGTCTCTAGTCTACTGAGAGTGGCTTCAGATACATTTATGGCCCACAGGCAAGGGTGGGTGGGAACGAAGCACGACAGCTTGTCTAGACTGGCTGTGAAATCCTGGGAGTTGTGATTCGTGGTGTAACTCCTTGCAAATGGCACATTTTCTTGATGTGGAGGCATGCACTGCCTCTCCCTCTAATATTCTGAATGGGTTGGAAGGAAGTGGGGATGTGATGGATAAGAAATATGGATAAGAAATATATGAGAACAGTTTACCTTGAGTTGCTATGAAGTGGTTGGATCTGTGATAGCCCTGTGAAGTAACAAGACAATGTATTATGCTCCTGTTACATTTTTAAAAAATGGTCAAAACACAGTCTTTGCGACATCACCACCAACAGTACAGTGGGGTCTTGACTTAAGAACGGCTTGAGTTAAGAACATTTTGACTTAAGAACCACTCTCATAGGAAAATATTGACTTGACTTACATACTTAGATTTGAGTTAAGAACTGAAAAAAAAACACGTGGGAGGCAGGGAAATTGCAAAATTTGAACGTACAATTATCAATTTTGTCTCTAGTCTACCGAGAGTGGCTTCAGATACATTTATGGCCCACAGGCAAGGGTGGGTGGGAAGGAAGCACGACAGCTTGTCTAGACTGGCTGTGAAATCCTGGGAGTTGTGATTCGTGGTGTAACTCCTTGCAAATGGCACATTTTCTTGATGTGGAGGCATGCACTGCCTCTCCCTCTAATATTCTGAATGGGTTGGAAGGAAGTGGAGAAGGACATTAGAGTGTGATGGATAAGAAATATATGAGAACAGTTTACGGGGATGTGATGGATAAGAAATATGGATAAGAAATATATGAGAACAGTTTACCTTGAGTTGCTATGAAGTGGTTGGATCTGTGATAGCCCTGTGAAGTAACAAGACAATGTATTATGCTCCTGTTATATATATATTTTTAAATGGTCAAACACAGTCTTCTAGTATTTGCGACATCACCACCAACAGTAGCTCCATGGTCTGCTCTTTTTGAAGATGTTTCAAGCAATTTTCTTGTGCTGTCCCCTTTGCACCAGCACATATTCCAAAACCTATAAAAACCCAAAGTGGGATGCATGTATGCAACGAAACTGTCAGTCATTGGCTGCCCACAGCATGGTATAAGCAGTGCTGGTGATTGTCTCCTCACAATAGTGAGAAATCTAATGCTTGAACCATCTTGGTAACTTCAGTTATGGTCCTGTACAAGTCACTCATGCAAAGCCAGCTATGATTTATATTCCGTACATGTCACTTTCTTGCAACAGGCCTTGTATACTTTGTCATTGGCCCCATCCATCATTGTAGGGCGATGCTGTTTTTGCAAACTACCTCCCAAATCATAGCTCTTCATATTTACTTCAGGTAAAGCAGTGTCTCTGGGTTTTTTTCCCTTTCCTTACTCCTGTCTCTGTGAAAAGATGTGCATGTTTGGCATCAGCATATGGGCAGCTGCTGAGTTCCACCAGGTAGCAAGGTCTACCCCTGACAAACATCCTGCCCTCCGTCTTGCTTTTCCTGTCACTTATCTTCCACCCACAAGTGAGAACAACAAAAAGCAAACAAATTCGCCTCATCTTGAGATATAGCAAGATATTTTCTAGCAGTGTCAGTGAGAAAACTTGTACTTGTGAGAATGAGCTTTGAATAAATTCTATCAGTGAGAAAACTTGTGAGAATGAGCTTTGAATAAATTCTATGCAGTTATGACAGCTTGCTCTTTTTGCTTTAATATTGTCTTTTAATGATGTAAGCTCCCTCTTTATACTCGTTCTTAGCTTTAAATATCATCTTTTAATGATGTAAACCACTGCTGTATACTCATTGTTTTCAGCTTTAAATATTATCTTTCAATGATGTAAATCACCTTTGGTCCTTCTTAAGGAGAAAGGCAGGGTAAAAATATTTTAAATAAATAAATTCAACACGGAACTTATATTGCATGCTCAGTTCCAGGCACTCTCCCCCCCCCATCGCATTTCTCTTCCTGTGTATACTCATTTCACATGATTAAAGTATGCTGATGACACCCAGCTTTACATCTCCTTTTCACCAAGTGCAGCTGATGCCATCCTCTCCCTCCAGCGCTGCCTGGGGGCCCTACTCCAATGGATGCAGGAAAATGGGCTGAGGCTGAACCCGGACAAAACGGAAGTTCTGAGGGTGGGCACCCTTGGGGTTGGTGGCCTGAGTGGCTCTCTCACATTGGGGGGGGGGAGACCCTGGCTGCTAAGAATGGGTTCCGCAGCCTGGGGGTACCCCTGGACCCGACGATCACCATGGAAGCCCAAGTGGTGTCTGTAGTTCGCACCGCCTTTTTCCCCCTTTGGCAGATTGCCCAGCTGCGACCCTACCTTGACATGGGGGCGCTCACTACCTTGGTACTTGCGCTCGTAATCTCAAGACTAGACCACTGTAACGCGCTCTATGTGGGGCTACCTTTGAGGCTGATGCGGAAACTTCAGGTGGTGCAGTTATTTATTCCTGCACTATTTGTTATTGTTGTATGCTAATGTTTTTATGTTTTTTTATTGTTTTTGATATTCTATAAGCCGCCCAGAGTGGTAGAATATACCAGATGGGCGGGATATAAATTGAACAAATAAATAAAAATAAAATAAATAAAGCTTAACCAATGAAACAGTGACACTCTAAAGGCCAAAACTGCTAGCTATGGCTTTTCTTCACAGAGCCATCAAGTGCGGATATAGTCAAACACGGTAGACACAGTCAAGCACAGCCCTGCACTTCACTCACTCATGCTTTCAATGTGTTTGTGTATGGAGAGATTGTATGAACCCTCATCCCCCTCCATATATATTTGTTCAAATGTAAGTCCTCCTGAGTTTAATGGGGCTTATGCTTAGGGCGGTAGCTGAAGTGCTTAGACACTCTTTGCTGCAGATATAAATGCCTTAGTACGGACTGTTATTTTTAGCATCCAGACTTTTTAACGTACTCATCATGAACACCTTCCCCAAAAGATTTATGGAAAGCTTTATGTAGGTTACATTAAAGTCAAGTATAATGAGAAATTAATTACAAACATCTTGTAAATGCTTAGCACATTTTTTTCATAAGAAGTAAAAATGTGAACTGTACAGAGTAAACAAGGATTATTAAAGGATATTTAAGAAATACAAAAGTGCATGTTAGCATTATGAGATGGAAGAAAAAATAGCAGCAACCTACTTTCATGATAATTTGAATTTAAATCTATGGCAGATACCAATAGAAAGACTAGATAAACAAATAAATATCAGATCAGACCACAGTCCGATTCTGTTTTCCCAGTAGCATAGCAGCACATGTAGTTTTCCAGTGGAAATATGCAACCAATTGTGTGTTTTTTTCCCCCAACTTGTATCCAGACTTTTTTTTTTTGCTTGCCAACTCAGAAAAGTTCAAATCCTGCTACGTGCTGAATCAGCAGGATACTTAGCCCCCAACAGGGTGATGAGCACATTCTCAGGGTGTTTCACACCCATCAATACAACAAGGAAAAACGGCACCTTGTCAGGTCTCAGGCACACAGTCTAGAACTGACTTAAAATTTCTCAGCGGACATTTTCTCCTTATAAACATTTCAGGCATGTTTACTTTCTAAGTCACACTCCCTAGAAAAAGAAGGCCACTTGGCCAGCGCCCCCTCCCCACATTTACTCACATGCTTCTCTCAGAGCACTATGGAGAATCATCTTCGGAAAAGAAAGCCACTCCATCTGAATTTTCTATCCCACTTTAACCCAAAGAAACCCTTCCCTGGTTATAGAACATCCTCAAGAAACTGCTGGAAAATCCCTACCCTCTCCTGAGGCATCCAGTGAAATACACTTCAAAGTCTCCCACAATTTATCTGCCCACAAACAGGAAGGAGAATTTTGAGAGGCTATTTGTACATAGCACTGACATAATTTCTCCGTTAGCCTTCCTGGAGTTTTCCTTGGCCAGCTTGCCCTCCACAGAAACAGGAGATTTCACACGCCATCTTTTAATATTTCACACCGTGCCCCAGAGTAAGGCTATATCAGATGCTTGGGGGCTTTATGGAAAAAAATTAAATGATGGCTTTTAGGCACCTGGTATCACCAATGAATGCGCCTAGGGTGGGGGAATGCCACTGTAAGATACCGGATTGGGTCTCAGTGAGGAATTTTCCAGTGACCACTTTAAACTTGGAACTGACCAGTTAAGGGTGTGTATTGCAAGGAATTTCATTTTCCACTGCTGCTGAAATTCATTGGCAGGGTTACATGCCAGAAAAGGCTGTTCTGTCTTTCCTTCCTTCCTTCCTTTTGGAAGGCCAGCAATATTCTGCCTTCATTGTCTACAGAACTCCAGGGAGCAGGAAGATGCTGGCAGCACCGTGCCGTACCAATCAAAGTCAAAGCAACTGCTGCCAGCTGTTTGTGGCCCCTGCAAAGAGGGCCGAAACACTGGCAGCCTGTGGGAGTGTGATCCATGATGGGTGGAGAGAGAAATACAAAGCACCTACCCTGACATAACGGGAGCAGCATGGAAGGAAGACAGGTAGCTGCTGTTTTTGTCACTCTCAGAGAAAAATCTATAACTCAAGTTCCCTTCAAAATCACTTTCACATTTTCATACCTCAAGTAGACCTCATCATTGCCTTCACTGCAAAAATTGTTTTTGCAACATTTTCCATCTATTTTTCCTGTTGAATTTTCACTGTTATAACCCTCTTTTCTCTTCTTCGTTCCAGAAGGGGAAATTAAAAACTGCACAGCAATTGAGGAAGAAGCACTTTCTGGCAAAGCTCCATTACATGCATCATAATCACAAACCAAGCAAACTCAACAGTGTGGATAAGAAGACCACACTTCTCCACTTTCAGTCACGTCATAAACATAGCCATTAAAGGAGGAAAGACGGAAAAAGGGAAGAAAGATACGATGTATACTTACTTCTCGATTTATCCGAATCTTAGAAGCCCAATTGGACACAGGTTCAAGAAAAAAAAAGAGAGATCAGAGACAGACAGATTAGTCAGACACAATCTGAGGGAGACCAGACTGTTTAGTAACGGAGATACAGTAGACAGCCATAGCATAAGATAGATGAGCAAAGAGGGAGCAATAGCAGCAGAAGATATTTCAATTTAGGCTATATCACAACTATAACTAGATGCAGCAACAGGGGATTTTCTCCAAGGAACCAAATTTAAAGGATGTACTGCTTTCCCTGACTTGTGAAATTGACCTGGTCTACTGCCATAGGACAAAACAAGGTAGACTAGACCAGTGGTCCCCAACCTTGGGCCTCCAGATGTTCTTGGACTACAACTCCCAGAAGCCTTCACAACCACCTCTGCTGGCCAGGATTTCTGGGAACTGAAGTCTAAGAACATCTGGAGGCCCAAGGTTGGGGACCACTAGAGTAGACCTCCAGAACAGATGCTAATTTTTAACAAAAAGCTGCAGATGAATAAGGGAAATGATTGGTAGATCAAGCCTCATTGAAGCATTAGAAGACCAATCTACGTGAGACTCAGTAGGCCAGGCTTCTGGCTCCAACATGGAGGGGCAGGATGCAGTGGCATCCATACCTAGATTGTGGGTTGACCAAACCTTCTTAGTGAGCGATCAAGTCCACCCAAAGCTCAGTAACCAAGGCCTTTGGGTTGGACACAACAGAAACTCAACTTATGATTATTTTTTGTGCTTGTGTATTTTTCCCATAGTTTTCGCAGTACTGCTGATCCGCTGTGTAGCAGGGAAGATGCTAGTAAGGTGCTTAGTGCTTCTTGTATTATTTCCACATAGTGGTTTATAAAGTTGATTTGGAGGCACATTATGCTTTGCTTGCCAAAACTATTAATTACACAATGCCAAACTTCATCAGATATCAACTAGCAAAATCAAACATCCAATGCAGATAGCAAATACTCAGTTCAAATGTTACTGAATGTTGAATATAGTAATAAAAAAACTACTGAAAAAATATTCAGTTATTCAGTGACTATCCTGCAAACTGACATCAGAATATGAAAGTTCGCAGAGCAAACTAACTTTAGCTGTAGAACACATTTTTAAGTACTATTGAAACTATTAGTGGCAATTCAGCAATCATATTTAATGTTGTATATGGCAGGACCCCTTTATCTGAGGGATCAGTACCCACTGATATACTCATCCATGTTCTGAAAATATTAAAAGAAAAATCCTAGAAATATATATTTCTAAGGATGAAGTTACCAGAACTGGACACTAGGGGGAGCCAGAAACCATGTCATGTATAATGTTCACTATTAAAATAGTGTTGGATGAAATTACCAGAACTGGAAACTAGGGGGAGCCAGAAACCATGCCATGTATAATGTTCACTATTTGTGTTTCCTATAATCTGTGGTTTTCAGTACCAGGGGGCTGCTTAAAATTAATGCCCCATGGATATTGGGGGCCTACTGGATTCCCTAATGTAGTTTCAAAATTATGTGTTATAAGATCAATCTACTTTTGGTCTGAGTTAATTTTATAAGCATTATTTAATGAATCTCCTTGTCCTGTTTTGCATTTGACTCCTGTTATGGAAGATGTAGATGCACAAAAATTTATATTTTGGTATCTATTTTGCACATAATAGCTGAAATCCAGTAAATAAGTTGCAAGTAGACTCAATGAATGAGTAGCCACTGTTTTATAAAACATATATGCATAAATGCATTTTAGCACTAATTATACATTTCCAAACTGATTTTAATGAGAAATTGCCTTTTAAACATATTTTTCTATTTTCTGGAGACAAATAGTACCTCTCAAAATATGCAGGATCATTAATTTCCAATTTAGCTATTAGGTCAACTCCTTATTAGAATTTTCAAAGACCAAATTTCTCAGGAATCCTATTAGGGCACAGCAAACTGCTCTATTGTTTCTTAAGTCTGTACAGCATTCAAGAGTCCCTAAATTCCAGCTTAACCGTAACAACTTCTATCAACTATTCTGGAACTAGACTGTGTACACTTTACCACATCTTTCACTAAAGCTATTCTTTTGGTTTATTGCCACTGTCTTTTTGGCTTGGCTTGGTCTGGCAATACAACCCATTTTTTAAAATTCTTCACAGAATTCAGGTAATTTTGGAGTGAATCCATGGGAAGCTTTTGGAAGTATGTCAGCCTCTAGACACAATATGGTTTATTTGGACTTTACCTAGAGCTCTCCACAAACATCTACACCTCTCCTGACAATATTTCATCCTTGGAACACCGCCTGGGAGGCAAAGAGATGTTGCCTTTGTACTGAAGACAGAAAAAGGAATAAACAGAGTATCGGACTCTAGGAGTGGTAGAACCTCTCAGCTTTTGTGAAAAACAGAGACACAGGAAACATGGAAAACAGGGACAATTCTACATTACAGAAGCAAAACGACGGCAAGGAGACACGAGCAGAAGATAAAGAAAACTAAACCAAACATTCATAACTTGGGATTCTGTTGAACAAGAGACTGTGGATAAAATAAGGGTCACAGCACTGATGCACTTACATCAATATAGTTGGCATTTATATAGTCTGAGTTGGGATCTCCAAGAAGTGGATGCAGTTTAACACGATGTCGATCATCTGGAACAAAAATCAGACAGTACTGTCAGTGCCAACCAGGCAGAAGGATGCTTGGAGAAACTGGGTATTGATTCCTCACACTTTAAACTTACTTCCTCCCTCCCCAAATACATCCAAGATTTATGAAGAGAAGGTTGTTGAATCTTTTCATGAAATCAAAGACATCATTCAATTCATTATGAACAAGACCCCCTGCAGTATTACTCTAGTGTTGACCTGGAAACCAGGTGCTAAGTCTCTGGCTTCCATAAGCTGCAGCTACTGCAAGAGGTAATGAGCACCACGGCTCAATAACAATGTGTGTGTGTGTGTGTGTGTGTGTGACAGGACAGGTTTCTGCCATCCTGCTCTAGCGGGACCTCAGCCCCTTGAAGTATAGTGTCCGGCAGAATAGCATACTCATCCTACTCCTGCAAATCTCAAAATGCTGGTTGCATCAGGTATGGTTAATCGTGTTAACCTTTTGCTGCCAAACCAAAAGAGAGACTCATGTCACCTTAAAGAATAGCATCCACCATCCATCACCAGAGCTTGGAAATAATTAGTTAAGACTTGCGCAATTACTTGTAGCAAGTTACTTAGTTTTTTCATTGTGCCCCCAGAGACATCTGATGGGTTGTATCCATGACAGCTTATGTTAAATAGAAGTATTTATTTGCAGCTCTTCTATTACTCTATCACTTTCTACCTCCTCTCTCCTCAATTAAAAATGCTAACTATCTTTTTAATGTATTCTCGAAGGCTTTCAACGGCTGGGATCCGCAGGTTGTTGTGGGTTTTTCGCGCTCTTTGGACGTGTTCTGAAGGTTGTTCTTCCTAACGTTTCACCAGTCTCTGTGGCCAGCATCTTTAGAAGACTGGAGTAGGAACTCTGTCCATGCTCTGAGTTCCTACTCCAGTCCTCTGAAGATGCTGGCCACAGTGACTGGCGAAACGTTAGGAAGAAAAAAGTGTGCTGCTTATATACCGCCCATAGCACTTCAAGCACTCTCTGGGCAGTTTACAAGTTAATTATGCAGGCTACACATTGCCCCCGCCCCCAGGAAGCTGGGTATTCATTTTACCGACCTCGGAAGGATAGAAGGCTGAGTCAACCTTGAGCCGGCTACCTGGGATTTGAACCCCAGGTCGTGAGCACAGTTTTGGCTGCAGTACAGCGGTTTAACCACTGCGCCACGAGGCTTCAGAACTTGGTCAAAGAGCCTGAAAAACATTAAACAACTACTTTTTAATCTCGCAAATACATAAGAGAATATCAAGGATCTGTTGTGATGTTGCTCTGCCTCTGAATGGAGGACATCTCCTTCCTGTGCCCCAGCAGTGGGCTCTGCTCTGCAGTCCATCCAGAATTGTGTACATTTGTTCAAAGTGTCTAACTTCTGGTTAAGGAGGTAAAAGATACTCACTAAATTTGATTTAGGCTGTCACAATTTAATGAAACACCTAAATAAGAAAATTTCCCTATGGAATTCCTGGCCTTGAAGTAGAAGTGAGAGGAGCATATTAGGTTTCCATAATTTCACAATCTTCCTGTGTGCGAAACTAATATCTTTTTCCTTTTAGAAGCAAAGCACATGCACACAGGAAGCATAGAATGATTGGCCAATTGCTCAAAAAGATACAAAGAACCCATCGGATGCTTCTAATCCTTAATACCGCAAGCAGCAGTCATTGTTACACTTGGCACTGCTTGCACTGAAGCACGATTTGTGTTGTTTCCATCAATTTCCTTAACATATACTTCTTCTCCCCTTCCATTGTTGAGAAAGACACAAAACACTGCAAATTCTTAGGGATGAAAAGAATAGTTAAATGGCTCCTTATCCTTTCATGACAGAATAAGAAAAGGGAGGCTTTAGCTTCCAGACATTTTTGTTCACTAAAGACAATTCCATGACCCTCTATGTCAGAAGTCGATCCCTCCAGCTTCCCATTCTCCTCCTGCACCTTCTGCAATGGATGGAAGGGAAACCCACCACCAGCTTCCAGCTAGAGATGGAAAGAGTTATCTCTAGGAAGCGCAGCCTCTATCCTTGCTGGCTTGGGAACTCTGGAAGGTTTGGATTTAAAATTTGAAATTCTTCCCATCTGTGCTCTTTGCTGCTGGCTTGCTACTTCCTCAGAGAGAGGCAGGGAAAGAATAGCCTCAAGACACATGAAATCCACTCTCTTCTCCTATGGCTTTTTTTTTCCAGGCAGCAGGTAGTCCACTGCTCTGTCGGCTGGTGTTTGAAGTCCAGAGCTTTTCCCGGCAAAGACATGAAGATCAAAACACTGCATCCTCCTCCTTCGAGGCACATTTAATTAGAGTCCTCAGGTACCTTTCTCCTTAGGAGTAGCTAGTACCACACTTTCAGCAGAAAGATAAAAGCCCGCCCCACCCCTGAGTGGCCCGCCAGCTCTTGCTGTATCTTGACCCCCTGCTGCCAGAATACAACTTTTTTTTCCTTCCCTAACAGTGAGCACAAGATGGGTGGGCTTTTTTATTTACACTTCCTAAATTTAGCAGAGTTCCTTGTGGCCTCAAAATTCCCAGAGGTCTATCTCTAAGCATCCTTCTAAGTATGAAAGACAATGAAGAACCAGAGCTTGGAAAGTTATTTTTTTAAAAAAAATAGATGTAGCAGATGTAGTTCCAAGCAATGTCCCTTCTGCATCAAAAATAATTTTTCCCCCCAATATCCTTCCTTCCTCTTAGTCAAAAGATTTAATGGACTTTTATAAACTTTGCAGGATGACAACTTCTAGAGTTTCAAAATACAGGCTGCAGTCCTTCCACGGTCTAGTCCAAACAAGTTACTCTTCCATGTTCTGGTTTCTCTCTCTCCAGCTTGCATGTGGAAAGGGCCAAATTGGCTACACAAGAACCAAAACTTGCATAGTGAGCTCACTGACACAATATAGGAGGTAAAACCAAATTCATGGGCAGCAGGTGGCCCTTTCTTTGGAGATGAGGATTGCTTATACATGCAGTCAGCAAGAAACAAAGAAGAACGTCACGTCAAAACCAAGTGTCTTGTTCATAAAACCCTTATTTTACCTGCAGGCTGCAGCAGCAAGAAAGAAGAGAAGCAGGGTCCTTCTCTGTTCAGAGAAACAGTGTGGTGTAATGTGGATCAACTAGGACTCAGGACACCTGGGTTCAAATCCCTGTCCTCGTATGGAAACTGGTGGCATCTCAGATACATTGATAATTCTATTAGAGTTACCATTACAGTATTTGAAAGTAAATTGATGGCACATAATAACGCCAACAAATACTTTTGAGCTGGCAATGCCATTTCCATCATGCCCAACACAGGAAATGTCAGGAAGCAGGACCGCCATAGGAGCCACCAGGAATGTCTGGTTTCTTCTCCTCATGAATTATTTTTAACTCTGTTCTAGCTAATCCATATCAGAACACGGCAAATACAAACAATAACCTAGCTTAGCTTTCTTCCTCGTTCCTCACAACTACCTTTCTTTTTGTGTTGTGTAAATTGTAGGCATGATCATCTTTTTTATTTATTTCTCAAGGGCGCTCTGCGGTGCTTCACATAACTAAATAGGCAGATAGATGCAGATTCAATTAATCAGCCCAAATCAATATGATTCATTTAGACATTTTAAATATACCTTTATAATTACATCTCCAGCTAACTACACTGAATCTGAAGAAAGCTCTCCCCCTCCATCACTCATTTTGCTATGCAACACTGACAGACTTCTACTAGCTTAGTGAAAACAGAGACATAGCGAAGCAGAGGTTGTCTGGAACACATGCGATGACCTAGAGATAGGTGTGCATAGCAGTTGGCATAATTAATATGGCAACACTGAGGAAAAGCGCAGCACTGGACCAAGTTGGGAAGCTTTGCCTGATACAGGGGAGTAAGGCCTATTTACCTCAGCTTTTCTCATTTACCCTCATGCCACCCATCTTTTCAAAACAGCTGGTTAAAGTGTGTGGTGGAAATATCTTTTAGTTCCCACGAGCTGTTCTGGATAACTTGCTCCCATTTTTGCTCTAGTATTAACAGGGAATTTTCAGCTTCAAAAACAGAAAGAAGGGTCAGCTATAATTAGAAGCGAGAGAAATATCAGTTCAGTGTTATGTAGGAGAGACAAAAGTAGCTTTGGTAGGAGTTAGTTGACAATGTGAATTCACTGTAGCTTTTTTCAGTCATTACCATTACTCAACCACTTCTCCTTAACACAGTCCACCACAGCATCTAGCTTCTCCGTTGTCTGTAATCACATTCTCTATGAGGAGAGAGATGTGTTTGTATTGGATGGGCTCCTGCTTAGATATAGGCTTTCCAGACTAGCAGGAACACTGATTTTCCAAGATGCTCCCTTCTAATACGTTGGGCAGGAAAAAAGTAAGTAATAAAAATATATACAGCTAATGATTTGCAGTCATATACTCTGTCCTCAGAACAGATGGCAAGGAAAGGTCAGCCATTTAACTCTTCCCAAAGTATTTGACACCAGTTCTTTTCTCTCTTCCAGCCTCTCTCTTGTTCTCACACACACTCCACCATGTACAACGGAATAAGCGAACATGTGGCCTGCCAGATGTTTTGGACTACAAAACCATCACTGTTGACCATCTTAAGCAATTGTATGGGATGTTGGGGACTGTAGTCCAACAACATCTCCAGGGCTGTTAGCTGTTCCTCATGCGCCATATTGGATTGGTAGCCTCATGTCTGACAGAACCTTTTGGTGAAGTCTCTCTTGCACTTGGTCCCTGGAGCTGGTGGTAACGATAGTAGTTTTGGGCAGCGGCATATATGCTCCCAGAAACATGGCATTAAGGATATTGTGGGAAATTAAAATAGCATCTAGGTCCAACTGTCTGCAATATCCTTACAGTACCAGCTGGAGTTGTTTAAAAGACATAAACTTTTTAAATTTTATTAGAAAGAAGTGTGGATCTGACTTCTATAGAAAAGGGGAAGCGTGCTCATGTAATCATTTTGTGTTTCAACGGGCTGAACACACATTACTCCTGTGCTTCTATGTCCTTACTCTCAAAAAAAAATAATAAATAAAAGGTGGAGAACATACCTCTGTATGCTGTAACAAAGCACAGCAGATTTACTTGAATCCTTAACAAGGAAACACCACACTGATTCATTAGATTCTATAACTATTTACAGTTTAATGTGTCTAGCTGCCTTTTTCCACAAGCAAAGTTTTCTTCTGCGGAGTGGCCACACTGTAAGGGTTCCATAAAAAGGTTTTGTGCATACAGGGACCTGGACACTATTCCACTACCATGTAAAGTAAGGAGAAAGTTAAGAGAGCTGGAGAGGGAGCCTGGCAGCAAGCAACCCAGGTATTTTAGATCAGTGGTTCTTAACCTTTGTTACTTGGATGTTTTTGAACTGCAACTCCCAGAAACCCCAGCCAGCACAGCTGGTGGTGAAGGCTTCTGGGAGTTGCAGTCCAAAACTCCTGAGTAAGCCAAGGTTAAGAACCAGTGTTTTAGATCACAGTCAGTACAAGATAAAGAACAAAAGGGGAAAGAAAAGATTATTTTAACTGAACTTGAAAAGTGGGGTTCAAATTTTCAAGAAGGGCAGACAGACAGTGTATGTATGTATGTATTCATTCACTCAAGAATCTGGGAACATGCCAGGTTCGTGGTGCTCTTATTCTGGCACATAGAATTTAATCCTACTATATACCCTTTCTAGCCCATAAAACTCCGCCACCAACTTGAGTGCACTGGAGATGTAATAATTTTAGGCAGATGACACTTGTCAAACCACACGGAATCCCCAAGGTGTGAAGTGAGTTCTGTGGACAATAGCGAAATGATTGCTTTTGCAGGCAGAAACCGAGATTGAAGCAAAAATCTATCCTCTGTGTATTTGACGAGCTACGATTCTAGCAAAGTGCAAGCCAAATACATGTACTTCCCAGGGGTTGCAGAGTTTCAGGACATTTTGAAATCCAAAAAGGAAGAAAGTTATTGATTTTTTTTCCCCTTTGTTTTTCTTTGAAGCTTTAAAAGACACTTACAGGTAGGTATGTGATCCTGTCGCCCTTTGGTCTTGTCTTTCTTCTTTGAAGCATCCCATCCTTCAAAGAAACTCTAGGAGGAAGAGAAGAAGTCTATTATGTGCATAAAGACCCTCTGGAAAACCAGGACACATTAATCTCTTTTGACAGCACAGATGCCCAGTGTCTTCCTTAAAGGACGGCTCCACCACCTAGACTTGAGTCTAGTCATCTATATGTAGCATTCATGGGTGATTCCCCCACTGAATAACTAGCATAGAAGAAGGCATACATAGAGGATGGAGTATAGGATAATTTGATTTTTAAAAAAGCAAGCTGTAATGGAGGCAGGGCTTAAAAGAATAAGGAGAGTTAAAAAAAATAAAAACAGGTCAAAGCCATTTTAAAAAGCAATCATAAAATCTGTTTGAAAAAACCGAAGGCTGTACAAAGTCATAAAATCATTTTAAAAAAGAAGAATTATAATGCTGGAAAGAATACTAGAGGTCTTCAATTAAAACACATTACAAAGTAGGAAATGCACAGTTAAAGCCCTCTTATTGTCAAGAAATTCTTTCTAATGTGTAGGTGAAATACTCTTTCTTGTCAGTTGAATCCATTTATTATGGATCCTACCATCTCGAGCCTCAGAAACCAAGCTTGCTTCCTCTTCCACATTATGGCCTTTCAAGCACCAGCGGTGCCTTGACTTACGAATGTCCCTACTTAAGCCTTTCAAGTACCAGCGGTGCCTCGAGTTACGACCAACTCTGGCCGCAAAATTTTGCTTCTACTTGAGACTGGAGCTTCCACTTATGAACAGAAAAAGGCAGGGGGGAAAGGTGGGAAGTTCAAATTTCTAACTGTAGGTGGTGACGAGGCTGCTTCTCTGTAGCTCTTTCGCCCCAGTTAGAGAGCCTGCTGTGGAGGAGGCTTGGGACTGCCTCGCTTCTGCTTCTGAGTGAGCGTGTGTGTGTATGTTTGCAGGGAGGCTTTGGGCTGCCTGGTAAGGTAAGGTGCCATTTTCTTTTTAAAAACTGTTCTGGGTGGTTTTGAAGTGTGGTTTTGGGCTGGGGGGGGGTATGTTTCTGTGCTGTGATGGGTCTTGGGGGGTTTGTTTGTTTTGGGTTTTTTCCCATTTCCGATGGATCTTGGGGGGTTTGGTTGCTTTTTAGGTTTTTTCCCCATTTCCGATGGGTCTTGGGGGGGTTGTTTTTTTGACTTTCCCCCCATTTCCTATGGATCTTGGGGGGTTGGTTGCTTTTTGAGGTATTCCCCCATTTCTGATGGGTCCCGCATTTTTCCCTTGCTTTTTCCTTTGTTTTCTTTGCCTTCCCCCCCCTTCGGCTGGAAGAGGGGGAAAAGTACAGTCTTGCAGTGATTTTTTGTTACTCTTTTCTATGGCTGGAATGGATTAATTGCATTTCAATGCATTCCTATGGGAAATGGTGCTTCGACTTATGACCATTTCAAGTTAAATCCATCTTCTGGAAAGGATTATGGTCGTAAATCGAGGCACCACTGTATTTAAAAATATTGAAGGCTCAAGCCTTGTCTTTTGAAGGCTAAATATGCCCCACTTAGTTAACCATTTTTCTTAAGACTTGGTTTCCAGACCTTCTGTGATTTTGGTTGCCCTCCTTTAGATATGGCCTAGTTTAAGGATTTTATTTTACATTTATTTATTTAAAATATTTATATGCCACTAGTTTAAGGATTTTACATTTATTTATTTAAAATATTTATATGCCACAAGAAGCATTAAACAGATATCATAACAAAACTCATAATAAGAGCAATATTAAAAACATAAGTAAAACAACAGAATAAAACCATCCTTTTTAAAAATCCCCTTGATCAACCAGATGTTTAAAGGAAAGTCTATCTGAAGAGAAAGGTCTTCTCTTGCTTGCAGAAGCACAGCAAAGATGGCGCCAACCTGACCTCCCATGAGAGGCAGTCCCAGAGTCAATCAGCAGCCAAGAGAAAGCGCTCTCCCATGTTCTCACTAAACACACCTGTGAAGGTGGTGGGACTGAGAGAAAGGCCTCTCCTGACGATCTTAACCCCGGGGCAGGCTCATAAAGGGAGATGTGGTCCTTGGGTTAACTTTGAGGCTTATAAAGTCATTTAGGCTTTATAAGTTAAAACCAGCACTTTGAATTGTGTACAGAAATGTATTGGCAGCCAGTGGAGGTGCTGTGACAGAAGAATTGAACGTTCCCTGTAACCAGTCCCAGTTAGCAATCTGGCGTGGCATTTCGGACTCAATGGAGTTTCTCAACACTTTTCAAAGGCAACCCAACGCAGAGCAGGTTACAGTAATCCAGCCAAGATGTAACTAAGACATGTGTCATCATGGCCAGGTCAGACCTCTCAAGGAACGGGTGCAGCAGGCGCACTAGTTTTAACTATGCAAAGGCACTCCTGGCCACCACCAACACCTGGGCATCCAGGCTCAGAAACAAATGCGAGGCAATCCCCAACCTGCACACCTGTGCTTTCAAGGTGAGTGTAAACCCATCCAGCACAGGCTGGATCCCTATTCTTTGATCTGACAAACGCGAGGCAATCCCCAGCCTGCACACCTGTGTTTTCAAGGTGAGCGTAAACCCATCCCTCTTCTTTGATCTGCCTTTCAGCTGATCAGGAACACCTCTGTCTTGTCTGGATTAAGTTTCAGTTTATTCTCCCTTATTCAGTCCATTACTGATCTAGAATTGGAACAACTTCCATGAATTTAGATGGAAAGGAGAGAGTTGGGTGTCATCTCCATACTTGGTGATATAGCAACCCAAAACTCAGGATGACTTCTCCCAGTGATTTCATGTAGATCTTAAATATCACAGGGGACAAACAGAACCCTGAGGGACACAGGACAACAGTATCCTTCTTATATTAGACACAGTATTCCAGGTATTCTGACCAAAGTAAAACTGAGTGATACTATTACATCTGTTGATCTGGACCCTAAACTTCTGTTGACACAGCCTAAGACTGTATTCTCTCTCTCTCTCTCTTTTTCCCTGCCATATCACACTGTTGGCTCATGTTTAGCTTGCAGTCTATGAAGTCCTTTAGATCCTTTTCACATATATCATTGTCAAACTAGCTGCCTCTTACTGTATATTTGTGCCTTGGATTTTTGTGGCCTATGTATAAAACATTTTTCAACTTCTTTTGTTTATTTTGGCCATTCAGTCATCCTGAATTCTGATTATGTCTTCTGAAGCAGTAGCCACCTTTCACAGTTTGATATCTGCAACTTTGATAAGCATCTCCACACCCTCATCCAAGCCCTTTATAGAGGTGTTGGACAACCCAGACCTGGTGCAGATCCCTTAGCACATCACACATCACTCCTCTCCAGGAAGATGAACAATTATAGATTAATACTCTTTAAATAGGGATTATCAACCCCTTTACAAATTGACCAGAAATTTAACAGAGATGGAACTAGCATTAGCACTGATAATGAAATCATTTGCTAACTCTCTCTCTCTTGCTCTCTTTTCCCTAATTCTTCTGAGCAGGCACAGTCCTGCAACAGCTAGACATGGGGTAGCAGATAAAGATGTTACACATATGAGCTATGCCTGTTTTAATGCAAAGTATTTTGGGTGACCTAGGTAACTGAGAACTACTGAGTTTCCAGAAGATCTGCTCTCAGTGGAAATCAAAAACTGCAAGAATTGGTCTTTTGGCATGGATCAACACACCTGCTTCCATTGTTAAGACCCTCTTTGAGGGTATGGCTGGGGGCGAGGGAATTATCACGATGACTGCCTGCACTTCAACATTTACCTTAACATCTCTGCACCAATCACTTCGCTTCAAAGCGCAACTTCCAAAGGACCTGTCACAACAATTAAATCATTTCCTGTCTGTATTGTCAAAAAGTGCACCTACTGGAGAACATGAAAATGAGGTAGACTGCTATGACTCCTTGAGGAACACTAGTCAAAGATTGTTCTAGGATATGATTCCAGAATCCACCTCAGAATCGCATTTCATGTGGGAACAACTCACTCAGCCCCAAAAGAGTCAACTTTATCCAGAGAGGAAAAACATCTGGGATTTTCTACAAGGCATGGAAAAAGGAGGGGCGTTTTTGGATAGCTCATCAGTTTATGTATCTGGCTGTGGAGTCAGAGGTTGAGTTCAATTCCCCACTATCCCTTCTTGATAGAGGCTGGACTTGATGATCCATCGGGTCCCTTCCAGCTCTGCCATTCTAAGATTATATCCTGTATTATATGCAGTGTAGATTCCCAAATAGGCACAGTCTGTTCTAGAAAGGAGGCACATGTATGACCTTCTGGTTCTGGAGGGAGTGAGGCCTTGCACCACCCCCAAAAATTGTCCCAGGATTGTGGGTAAAATATGAAAAACCACCCTTCTTTAATATTTTTAAGTAGAGGAAATGTTACAGCAACATGTATCGGCATTCCTCTGGCTTCCTTAGAGGTACTGGCCAGCATTTTCCTCGAAATCTTATGCCACACAGCCTTCTGGGAAAAGGAAATGACATCTCCTCCTCGTGGCAGTTAAACAGCAATACAACCTGGAATAGTGACTTGCAATCTACTTTCCTTGGATTGCATTAGCCTTTTTTATACATGTGAATTTTAGAAACATCTTTTCATCTAAGACTGTTCTCACTAAATATATTTCTTAGTGGGTTCGTTCCTCTATATGTATATTCCGCACGCCTCCAAAAATTCCGCACATCCCCTCAGATCTTGGAATGCATATTCCTTCCCCTATCCCAGCCCAAGATTCTTTTCTTCCTTTTCTTCCACTAAGCAGGCCTGTGTGATGTGTGGAAAGAATAGCAACGCCCACTGTTCTCAGCAAAAGAACAAAAGTGGAAGAAAATGATATGTTTCCTTCCTTGTTCCTAATATTCAAGTGCCTCTCAAACAACTGGTTTGGAACATGTATAACAGCTTTTCAAGGTGCCCTAATTATTGTAACTAGACCAGGTTTCTCAAATTTATAATACTGGAGAGGAGACTCTCAGGCATCCGTAACAATTGAACACCAAACAGGAGCTCCCACTGCAAACCCGCACACATTGTGATGACAGGGTCACAAAGCAGAGGCACTCAAAATGTTCTGTTTTGATATGGCATAAGAAACAGCATTGCTGTATAGGAGGCAGTGCTTTTTCAGAAAGAAATATAAAGAATGAAGAAAAGGAGGAGGAAAGGAAAAAAGAAACCAAGGGACAAGATGCTCCTCATAAATTCTTGGGCTGAGCCCACATTGGCACAGGAATTTCTGACCAAAAGAAGTATTCCTCCATACAAGCAACAGTAACAGGAGACACATCTACACAGAAGGCAGAATAAATTTACAGAGTGTTCCTGTATCTCCCCACACCCTAGAAATGATTAAGATTACCATTCTCATTCAACATGTTGAAAACGAAACTGCTCTGTTAAAAAAATAACAACCAAGCCATCAAAAATTCCAGTGAACTGTTCCGAGTGCATGTGTGCAAGATTATTGAGCTTAGCTTAGTTACAGGATGTTGCCGGTCGGTGTGTGAGCATCTTGTCTTGCACTATGTAATCTTCTCTCCCAGTATTTTGCAGTTTCCCTCCCTTCTCACACTTCAGTATAATTCCAGCATGACTTAACTCTCCCCATGGTTTTCTTTCATATCAGGAAGTGTGGGAAGCTGGGAACACTACAAAAAGAAGTATGAAACAAGAAGAAAATAAAATACATAGAAAAATAGAAAGAGAGAGAGAGCTATCATATAACAAGAAAAGCCCCCCAAACCCCTGTAGAATAAATTTCCACACATCAGGAGAGCAGTGAAAAAGTATAGAAAGCTCTTCTTTCAGAAAATAGGTTTCAATTCAGCAGTAGCCAAAATATGTGGTGATGGTTACTATGGGTTTCACACAAAATTAGACAAGTTGATGAAGGAGGAGGACAGGATGGGGTTAAATTGCATTTCTCAAGTTTGGGGCAGTTTTCCGGATGGGGCTTCCTCTACTTGCATGAACAGGATAGAAGTGAGACCTGCTGGCCCAAGAGAAAAGGAACAAGCTCTCTCTTCCTTTGTCAGCACACCCTGCTACTTTGATATATGCTAAGGTAAGCAACTGAGTGGAGAAGAGCTCTTTCTCCTGTGGGAAGTTACTTTTTTTGACAATAGCTCTAGAATTTCTCAGCCTGTTTTCCAGCCAGCGTAGCTATTGCCATTCTTCTTTGGCCTGGATTTTAATACAAAGCAACCAAATGAGTGAGGAGAGCAGCACCGTGGCACGGAGTTCAAGAGAAGCAACAGTCTGGATGGCAATGGGAGAGGTCGGAAGAGAGATGAAATGGGACTCCAGGAGAGGTGGGTCTAATACCAAGCCAAACAGCTTCCCCAGCTTTATCTGAAAGTGTCCCCCAAAAGAAGGCGGGGTGCCAAAGTCTCACCTCATACTCCTGTTTGAAACCATAGCCTTCTGCAGTCTTCATCTGGTTGATGTGCTGGAGAAGATCAGCCACTCGGACCGCAGGGTGGAGCTGGCCAGTATGATAAGGGGAGCCTTTGCGTCCACACTGCCTTCGAGGAGAACCCCCTAACAAACTGCTGGACTCATTGACGACACTGCTGCGCTGATCACCTGGGAAGGAGGAATCAGACATGAGAGAAAGTTAAGAAAGGCAGGATCCACAAAAACAACAAAAATACACAAATGTCCATTTGCCAAGCCATGGAAAATTTGGTTATGGTCAATTCTAAGATGTACATTTTCGATCCAACCGATGGTGTTAGAGCTTTAGTGGAATAGCAGATGTCAGAAACCTTTTTTTTACACCATAAACCATAATTACCCGGTCACATTTGAGTCACCAAAAACTGTTGATTTTGTCGCACTGGATGCCACTACATCTGTTTGCAAGCTGGCTCATTGAGCTAACTGCTGGTGATGTAAGACAGGCGATGCTTCTGAGTGGTATAAAATATGACTGGCTGGGTACACCACAGCAATTTTGTATTAATATTTTTTTTAAAAAAAATAATAATCTGTAGATGGGCAAGTACTTTTAAAAACCATATTCCTGTGATTTGATAATCTATGCTGAACATGTCTGACTCCTAGGTGCACTCAGTGTAACTAAAAGAATCACACCGCAAGGTTGGAAAAGTACTGTAGTACCTCTCATCCATCATTGAGGAATCTTACTGCTTTAGCTCTGCACAGATGTGTATTGTACAATAGCCAGATCCAAAACCATCATTTTTAAGACAAATCTGTTCATGTACATGAAAAAAATTGTGTTGCATCAAGTCAGTTCTGACTTAGAGCAACCCTTTCAGGGTTTGTTTACTTAAATTATTCTAGGCAAAAGTGGTTTGCCATTCCTTTCTACTGGAGGCATCCTGGGACTGGGCAGTATGGCCAAGGCCACACAGGCTGGCTTCTCTAGGATGCACCTATTCATGTATAGCCCTATGTTATGATTATATCCTGCATATTCCCCTTTCCCCTTCATATTTCTCTTTTTATTGCCTGTCACTGCATTGAGTTTCTTTAGTATACATTGTCATAATCCCTGGTTGTATTTCAGAACCTACCCACCCTCTGGATAAGGAGAGGCAAACCGTGCCAGAACCAGAGTAAGGTCATGGAAGAGTTCGATCCAGACCAGTTCACTGAGAGACCCTTGAACAGGCATAGCAACCGCCTGCTGCTATCTAGAAAAAACTGCTTCCCCTACTGGCCACATGGCCTTCACTTTCAGATTGCCAGTCAAGAAAGAATCTACACTCTAGGCAGTGATCCCCAACCTTTTCAGAACTGTGGACCAGTTGAGGGGCAGGGCCTGTGTGAGGAGGGTACCCCCCCTGCTCGCAGGTGGGTGTGGCATGTTTGTGGGTGGGTGTGGTGCACTCGTGGATGGGTGTGGTGTGCTCATGCACATGTACGTGGCACACTTGCAGGTGAGTGGGGCACACATGCGCTCCATGCCCACCCACGAGCGCACCACGCCCATTATGCGTTCATGCGGGGGGGCAGGAGATCTGTCTCCGTGGCCCAGTCCTGTGAAGCCCACAGACTGGCACCGGGCCGCGGACCAGGGGATGGGGACCCCTGCTCTAAAACACAAGGTCTTCTAAGCTCCAGGTCAGCACACTTGCAGGTGAGTGGGGCACACATGCGCTCCATGCCCACCCACGAGCGCACCACGCCCATTATGCGTTCATGCGGGGGGGCAGGAGATCTGTCTCCGTGGCCCAGTCCTGTGAAGCCCACAGACTGGCACCGGGCCGCGGACCAGGGGATGGGGACCCCTGCTCTAAAACACAAGGTCTTCTAAGCTCCAGGTCAGGTAGTGTGGCACACTTGCGGGTGAGAGGGGCACACACGCGCTCCATGCCCACCCACGAGCACACCACACCCACTATGCATTCATGCGGAAGGGCGGGAGATCTGTCTCCGCGGCCCAGTCCTGTGAAGCCCACGGACTGGCACTGGGCCGCGGACCGGGGGATGGGGACCCCTGCTCTAGAACACAAGGTCTTCTAAGCTCCAGGTCAGAAAATCCGCTTCCAGAAAAGAGGCAGGTTCTGTCAAGATTTGTTCCTTTATGTGAACAAGGGGTTAAATTTAATATTGTAGTGAGAATGCAAAGTCATGCCTGTAAATGTCAAGTCAATGGATGACTGATGACACGCAGCTGGAACAAGCTTAGGCAGTGCTTGTTAACCACGTTCATTTGCTATGTCTGCAGTGATAGGCTGCTCTCACTATTTAAGCAAGGGAGTGAGAACAGAGTCTGGTGGTCATTACTTTACTTCTGTGAATGTTATGTTGCTCTGAGAGATCTATGCCTGTGTATATAATGCCATGTATATATATCTGACCAATGCTAATATATCAAGTCTAATATATTATGCTATAAGTCTTATCAGAACTCTCTCCATGTTTTTTCCTTATACATTCGCATCTTTATCTGCTTATAAAGGGGAGGATTTGAAGCTACCAGATAAGAGAATCTGTGTAACTTGTTATCATGGGCTCCAATGTTTGTTTTCTCTAACAGAGTGCTCTTGGAAGTTTCATTATCCAAATCTGACTCCAAGCTTCTGGAGAGGCAAGCACCACATCCGCTTTTGGAGTTGGACCCACGCCAACAGGTTCTGGGAGGGGTAGCCTGGAGTGAGATGCACAAAAACTGGCAGTCTAAGAGTTCACTGAGGTCTTGCAACTCTGAACATACTTTTCAGTGTACTAGAAGAAATCTAAAGGTAAGATTTATTTGTTTGTTTATAGGGAGCTATGAAAATAACAAAGCAGGGATTGGACAATTATTTTTAATACATTGCAAGTAGAGATGGGGGTATTTGTATATGTATACAATTCGCTCGCTACTCCTGGCAGGAGGACAAGCCTCACTGCAAGGTTGAAGAGTGGCGAGCGGATCACGCACTGTGGCGCCATTGGTAGAATCGCGGTCTGCATCAGCGGCGGATCGGTGAGTGGACCATCCGGCCCCATGGGGCTGGACCCTCGTTAACGCCACCTGTGCGGGGATATTCTTATTCGTATACAAATGCCCCCATCTCTAGTCACAATCCCTCCATAATGCTAGTTCTTTCAAATGGTTGTTAAGCAACTTTATTTTCAAAAACCCAGTCTGGTATTTTTAACTTTGGAACAAAATTCCAAGGTAAGAGGGAATAAGTGGCTTTTGACATGGCCCAGTTTGGTTTGTTTTTCTTTTTACTAAACAGCTTTATGTAAGAGCCTATTACAGCAGGAAAAAACCTACCATGCAGATAAAACAAATTACCAAGAGCTATGTAATACTTTGGTTCATCAACTTCTCCAAATCAGACTTAAAAAAAAACAAAAAAACTGCAAGCATTACCAAGGAGGGGAAGCTGCCTTTTAAGCTCCTTTCTTAAACAGAGAGGGCCTGTGTGCCCCCATGTTACACACAAATCTACCTTAACAGGACACCTCCACTGTTGTGCTTTCCAAAGTATGTATTTCTCTTTTTGGAATCACCTTCCAGGATCCACCAGAAGCTAGAACTATCCAGTGGAGATAGGGTGTTGTTGTTGTTTAGTCGTGTCCAACTCTTCGTGACCCCATGGACCAGAGCACGCCAGGCCCTCCTGTCTTCCACTGCCTCCCAGAGCTGGGTCAAATTCATGTTGGTCGCTTCGATGACACTTTCCAACCATCTCGCCCTCTGTCGTCCTCTTCTCCTCTTGCCTTCACATTTTCCCAACATCAGGGTCTTTTCCAGGGAGTCTTCTCTTCTCATGAGATGGCCAAAGTCTTGGAGCCTCAGCTTTAGGATCTGTCCTTCCAGTGAGCACTCAGGGTTGATTTTCTTCAAAATGGACAGGTTTGTTCTCCTTGCAGTCCAGGGGACTCTCAAGAGCCTCCTCCAGCACCACAAGAGATAGGGTAGAATACCACAAACCTTCATCCTATAAACGGTCCATTTGGGAAAATCCATTAGCAGAGTTTGGAAGCTTTTGGAAGCTGCAAATATATGACTGCAGCACCAGTGAATAAAAGGTAAAGGTAAAGGTTCCCCTTGACATTTTTAGTCCAGTTGTGTCTGACTCTAGGGGGCGGTGCTCACCCCGCTTTTCAAGCCATAGAGCCAGCGCCTGTCCGAAGACAGTTTTCATTGTCACGCGGCCAGCGTGACTAGGAAGCGCCGTTTTACCTTCCCACCAAGGTGGTACCTATTTCGTATTACCACCAGGAAAAAAAATAGCATGCTAGGTTGAGAGCAGGGTGGTATAGAAGTCAAAGCAATAATAATAATAATATGAAAAGTTCACATCAACCTTAACTAAATAATGGCTGGAGACATCATATAATAATAACTCAGCTTGTTGGTATACTTTCTTAAGTAGACAGACAAGAAACAGGAGCTGAAAAGTTTATTTAAGTGAAATAACCTTTTAATGTTGTATTTTTAAACAAAGTTTTTCAGATCTGCAATTTCTTCTGTGGGATCAAACACTGATTCCTGTAGTAATGGGAGTAATGTAATACTCCAGGCATCAGTAACACCTACTCATTTTGTGTATTTTCATGAAGTCGCCGCATCAGTCGAAT